CATAAGAGAATGCTTGTTTTTAAGTTTGGTTCAATTGAATAACTGCATGTGAACGCTCTTATCATCGAAATTTAACTTGCCATAAGCAACACAGCGGGTGCCCTTAGTAGAAGATTTGTTTTTATTTGAGTTGCACCTAAGATCACACCAGATTTTGGTGGGGTTTGTATTGCTCGGTCTTTAGTTTTCTGTGTAATGTTTTGCAGACTGTAAGGTGTTTGTTCTTTGTTTTTTTTTTGCAATGATGTTGGTTTTTTTTTAATATTTTTCATTAGTTACAATTATCCATAAAGAGTCCAAATGACCTGGGTGTAAGCAACTGTAGGTCATCGATATGGCCTTCAATAATGAACAAATCCTATACCGTAAAGTCAGCTGAAACCCCCGACTTAACAATAACATTAACGGTACCAATTTTACTGCACCAGATGCACATTTCGACAATAAATGTCACTTCATTGATGCTCGAGGCCAAAATACTAACTATTCGAAAATCCAAAACTTATTGAAAAATTGAAGAGCTGATAAAACCAAAACTATAGCCAAAGCCGGGCAAGGAATTAGAGATTTGCACGAGGGGAAAACAGTGTTAACAAAAATGCTCCAAGATAAATTCGAAAAATGTGGAGTCTATAATACTGACAGAATCAAACGTTAGACTATATTAAACAACGGAACGATTTGAAAACAACTGTCATATTCCTGACTTGGTAAAGGCATTTTCCGAAGAAAATGATGGGTTAAACCTGGTTTTATAGCTAGCTAAACCTCCTACTCGTATGATAGTTGTTTAGAGTTCCGTTAGATTCACAAGATTGGGTGAGTAACCCAAACAGACATAATTGGTTAATGTGACAATAATTGGGATCCTGCAGCCAAAACTGTGTAAACATGCATCACAGACATACAACACAACTGACCAGAAAATTCAAACAAACATACAAATAAATCTGACAAAGAGGACAACAATAAAGTTATTGTAGTTCATAGCAAATTGACAAAGACGCCATCAAATATGTTTTTGTAGTTGATAGTACATGCAGTTCATTAAAACATAATGCCGTACCTCTTGCATCTGAATGGCACCTCTGGACCCACCTGCACCAGACACGTCCAAAGCCAAAAATCCTATAGTTAGATGCACTAATAACGAGCCACGGAAAGAGTCAAACGACCAAAAGGAATATTATATCTCAAAGGGAAAACTGTCAAGTAAATAAAAAGATACACAACTTCAGCACCTAGAATCTAGAACTCAAGACCATCTTGTATTATTTGTGAAGTAGGCACCTTTTGAGAGTCGTTCTTTGACAAAACCCTGGCTCATTATTTTTTGGCTCAATCACCGATTTACAAAGTCTGAGTAGCAGCTGCAAGAAATGAGGCAGAGGAAGCTGTATCTGTGATTTCTTTAATCTTCAGTTTAGGAGGATATTTTAATGGGACCCAATCAGAAAAGTTTGGATTGTTAATGGAAAGAACATCACCAATATACCTGTATGTGAAATTAAATGATCTAGTTTCTTTGATCTTCTTATTTTTTACAAGCGATTGAAGGACTTTTAAAAGGGAGATATATTTCTTAATTTAAGATAACTTCCAAAATTGTGTAAAGCAAATTTCAAAAACACAATATCCGCATGTCCATACATTTACTAGGTTGGATATTACCTCTGGGCCTTACAGTCCACTCGCCAAGGTATCGACCAAGTGGTAGAATAACAATCACACTACCAATTATACTGCACCAGATGAGCATTTATGTAATGCCGATATAAGTCGATCTTCCTCATAACACTGTTGGTGCAGTTTTTGTGTGAGGTTAAACGTGTTTGTGAGGGCGCAACCCTCCTCCTAACCTGGGACAGTGGTATAACAGCACAACATAAAAAATTTTTTTTAAATGGAGTTGGAAATGGCTGGACTCGTCTCATTGGTATCAACAACAGCATACAACTAACATAAACAAAAAAGACATAAAGGACCTATCTGAGAGTTCTTGCAGTAACTGAAAGCTAAATCAAAGCCAATAACAAATAATAAATAAATCGTGTTCTCTCAGACTAAAGTATCAATCAATACACCTCCAACGTATTTAGTGTTAATACGTCATAAACAGTAAAGCATGACATTGTGCAATGCCAAAATAAAACTACATAGTATCGACAGGATGTAGGACCATGAGATACCATAACTGTAAACATATTTAGTTTTAATTCATAAAAAAATTGATTCATGAGACAGCAACTTGTGTGTTCTTTCTTTATATTAAGGAATAGAAAAGACAAAAAATGGTTTCATGGGGAAAAAAAACCCCAATGAATAGTTATTGGGGGTGTAGACTTCAGATAACTGCTACAGTGACTTAATTGTCTTTCTGGATATAAAATGAGTACACTGTGACCATTTTTTTTTAATTTAAATTATTTGTATTACAAATATTATCATCCTTTAAGGAGAATTGATAAGGCTAATTTTGTTGACCCTTTGAATTTGAAAAATTCAAAAGTTCTATTTATTTATCAAATAGTACCAATCAGATGTTCACACGACATTAGTCAATCAAATATTAGTATTCATTTATTCGAATTTTGTCCTTCGCATTTGAATTGGGGTTCCAAACTTCTTTCTTTTAATTAAAAACGAAAATAATTGTTCTTATACTCGTACTCTCCTTTAAAATCTAGGTATGCATTTATTACAACTGTTTTAAAAATATGTATTTATAAGGAAAAGTAGGAGGCTGGAAGAATGTATTCACGGTGACACAGAATGAATTGTGTGACGAGATGTATAAAAAGAAGAGGGCAGGTGTAGACATGAACCTTCGTTTTAATTTATGACAAAAAGACAAGAAATCGTTATCGCGTTTCCAAGTAGTCCGTACCATTCATTTCAGTAGATTGGTAAATTTGTTATCTGAATTTGAAATTGGGGACATTAAAAAGTTGATAAAACAATATTGGAACTGTCGGACTATAGTTTATATACTAGAAATGGTGTGGGTTTTTTCTTCTCTTTATTATGGAAGGGAATATCCGTCAGAATTATACATTTCTTAATTTGTAACATTCAATTTCTTAATTTGTAAAATGTGATTTCTTAATTTGAAACATGTATTTTTTTCCATCCGTAACATGAATTTCTACATTTCTTGATTTGTGAAATGTAACTTCTTAATGATTTCTTAATTTGTTAACGTATTGTCTTCACACGTTACATGAAATTCCACATTTCTTAATTTGTGAAATGTTATTTCTTTGTTTAAGTCACGTTTTGGGAGAATGTGTCAGTGTAATTGTTACCACTGCCAGCCAATGAGAAGTTCCGTTTCTCAAGAAAAACTACAAGTTACAAATCAACAAGTTACAAATCAAGAAGTTTTACAAATCAAGAATGAAATAGTTCCACAATATTCCGCACGTGGTCGCTGTGGATCCATCTCAACTGGTACCTTAGCCAACTCGTACTCAACCAACTCATATTTCCGACAAATCGTACCCAATATTTTATTATTTATATGCTTTAAAGTTGTTATGTTCTTTTATATAATATAGAAACATACAAATACAGTAAAGTACAACTTTATTGATTGGTAATCTGATGCAATTTGTTTTCAAATCAGTCATATATAAAGTTAATCATTCGTCTTAGACACCAAGCTTCAATTCCTGGCACTGTATTGGACGAATTTAGAACAGAGTGTACCAGCGTACCAGATCTTCGTCAACAAATCATGACACGACCCCAAAAGGGTCTTACTCTAGTGATACCCACCTAGCAAAAGACAGCGACAGTGGCCGTCCCTCGTCCTACGAACGCAAATGCTCTACCGACTTCTGGCAGATAGGGTGCAAGAGGACTATCTAAAAAGAAATCGACCAGTAATGGAACTGTAAATAGTGAGTATAATTGAACAACGATAGCTTAAGTTTTGTTTCTTAAATGTTTGTGGGCTGAAGAAAGGACTGTTGTCTCCGGGTATCATTGACATTTTGCCGGGACATGATATCTGTATTTTTGTTGAAACGATGTTAACTGACTTAGATAATTTAAACCTACCAGACGTTTATATTTATGTTTTTGAACTATGTTTAATTTCTGTGCTGGCTTTATCGCTTCAAAAAGATTCGAAATGCCTTCATATATAAACTAGCTAGAACAATCTTCTTGAACACATGTTCAACACAAAAAACAGTAAACAAAAGCTCCACAGAATATGGCAGAAGGATATTGTTTACTGATTTATGCGGTGCACATGTGTTCAAGAAGATACGAACCATGATTACAAATGTAAGATCATACATTTCGCTCTTATCCCCGCCCCCCTCCAAGCATGACTTTTACAAAGTTAATAAGTAAAACTCAACGGACTTTGGTGCAGCATTTATTCCGAAATCTGAGTTTTCATAAACCCTTCTATGATTATATTTCATTTAAACAAACCCCATTATATTTTTGTAGGTCCGAACCTATTATCCACTAATCAGGCGCGGATCCAGCCATTTTTAAAAGGGTGTTTCCAACACATGCAAGTCATATAACCATATGTCCCTATACAAAAGCATTGAGGTCAAACGTATAGGAGGTTTCAACTCCCGGAACCCCCAGCCCCCGGGCCACTGATTAATGATCACTGATAAGACCATTGTATGATTATAATTATTCAACATGTATATGAAATAAATTATCGTTCAAACAATTTCATATAATCACTTACTTCTAAAGACGAATGACAAAATCCAATTTAAATTTACATTTTCTAAAACATAAAATGCATTTGAATTTTTATTTATCTAGGGCTTGCTATGCCTTAAAACTTTTCCAGATGCACAGGTAAGTCTGTGCTCAAAGTAAATTTTGAGGTGAAAACGCAGCCATTTTAGCCAAAGGGTCCACATGAACCTTAATTGTATAACTATGTGAAGTAAATGGATGAAATTGTCGTTTATTTGCAATGAATTTAATTTTATGAAGATACACTATTTACACAAGACAGTTTATTTTTTTAGAATCTGGGGAAAACTCGAAATATTTCAACACGCATATTTAAGAAAGGCTTTGACACCTTGATAAGGAAAATTGATAAAATACACAACTACACAAACTGACATACTATTAACATGTGTGTTACATGGTACGTATGTTCGTAGACAGAATCGGATCGTTTTAACGTAAGTGATAACACATTGTTTGATTATTTTAATATTTACCTTTTTTGCTTCCTTTTTAGTCAACTAAAAGACTTGTAATTTGTTTTATTTTGTCTTATTGCTGATCAACTTTTGATGATGTTGAGCACCATGCACTGATGATAAAAACATATTTGAAATAAGCAAAAGGTGCATTTTTTTTGTATCATAGATATTTGTATGTGTTATTCAGTAAACACATTATATGTATTGCACATTTGATGGGTTTATTGTATGTTATTAACTTCCTCATAAAAATGCTGTTGGAATTTTTGCGTTAAAATTACATTCCTGTTAATGAAGTCCGTATAATGTGAATATGAAGGCTTAAGGTATGATTTTCCTACGCATCACACTACTATCCCCAATGGTCAATTAAAAGATCCATTACATCGACTCATTAAACAGAGCTTTTTCTATAAAAACGGGAATCATAGATACGAATTTCTTGTTTAAGGTCATGAAAAATCTTACTTTGTGAAAAACTAGAAGCTCTGCTTTATGTCTTGATTTTTTCCTCTATATTGACACATTTGGACGACTTCAAACTAGAATCTATGACAAACGTGATGATTTCAACTTCCCAATTGTCAATTTCTCATTTCTAATCAGAAACATACGCTATGTCCCATAGTATGGCGTTTACATACCTCAATTAATTCAAAGAATTTGGATCAGATCTTTATAGATATTAAAAGAATCCACATTTGATTTACACCACTAGTTGAGTATACCTCATTATGATATTTTTGCAGGCCATCTACTGTAAAAAGAATGATAGGAATGATTTTAGAAAGATGTTTTGATATATCGTTCTTTATAAGGATTGTAATGCAGTTTTTATATCCAATCTAAAGATGAGACGGAATATGTTTTATCGTCCTTTTGAATGTTAATTCCAAAAGAAGGAGGACGGATTTGTGATTTTCTAAATTTTCATATGTGTGTGTAGTAGTGTTTAAGAGGGATTCACATATTTGCTGTAAATTTCAAATTCTTTTGCAAAGCAATCCAAATAATGATATTTTTTTTATATTAAACGATATTGTTTGAGGTTTTGACTCCTGGAACAATAACATATTAGTCGCGAAGAGAGAATTAAGAATCCCCAACATCAAAAGGATCGGATATCACGAAACGAATCGAATAAGGGTTATGTTGCATTAAAAATAATAATAAATAGACATTCTACGAAAATTATACTTTAAATGCGGAGACTGTGTCAAAACATTGATTTTCGATTCAAACTGGTGAAATTTAAATCACATGCGTAATGTTGATCAGCTATCCTACACACGTCTTGGTTAATTTTTTATTTGGAACGCCTTAGTATAACATCAAACATGTTAATCATTTTCTGATATCACAGATTGTGATTATAGGACGTAAAGGTGTACGTTTGAGCGGGTGAACGGGGTGGGGAATGGGAATTGATGGTAATGCAAGTATGCACTTCTAGATTGATGAAATACATAGTAAGCCAGTTTGATTTTTTTATTACAGTTCTTTGATAAGTTCAATATGTGTCTGCACTAAACCCGCAAAAAGCTCTCCAGTCCGGGTATTATTTTCTCTCTGTTGACTCCATTGGCTTCCAATGACTTTGAAAGATTTTTAAGCGCCTTATAGCATGTATAGTGTGTTCCGTGTACAACCGACACTCACATAATCGCAAATTCAGTTTTTTTTTATGTTTTCATATTGTGTTCGTTGTGGCGCTCTAAGTTTTTAATTTTACATTCAAAAAATTACGATTTGCCTTCAATCTTTTCTAGAAATAATAGGCAGATACAAAATTAAAATGAAATGGTATAGTTTCTTGCACTTTTTTAACGCTCCCATAAGGCCTCAGGATTGCATAACCGGGTCAAACTGAACAGAGGAAAAGATCGAAAAACGTAGAGTCAGTCATGAAGAAGGAAAAGTAAGAGACAAAGACAAAACTGGGGACAAAAGAAACCCAAACAATGGACAACTCCACACTGAAACTAGAGACAAATAAGACACGACGGTCTTTTTAAAAACTGGAGCAGACATTCTAGGATTTTCTCTGAAACTACAATGCAACATGTTTCAAGTTGAAACTGGATAAACATATATGTATAGTATGTCCTTCAAACAGTCCAGGTTGGATGAAAAATATGTATGGTAGCAAAAGAGATCAAATTAACTATACTTTCTTGTTTTTCATAACATATGTAGTAGAAAGAAATATACATTGTAATGCAGATACATTCTTGAATATTTATTAAACAAATTATTATAATCAAGGTTGTAGAAAGTTTCCCCGTGCTTCATGTGTACTAGTATGCTATTCTAAAATTTTAATAAGACGCACACCACCTATTCTTGGCCCTCATTCCTATCCACGTTTAAAAAAATTGCATTGTGCAAATTTGATAGCTCTTAAGATTAAAAACTGTGAGAGGAGTTTTTTACTCAAAATTGATACCCTTATTAACCACTCGATTGACCTTACGTCGTACTTTCATCATATTATGTAATTAGACGGTTTTTTTCTTTTCTTAGCAACCCGTTCATAAGTTCTGACTTCGAGTAAATTCCCCCTTGTATGTCAAAAGGTCCGTCGCTATTGTTTTTGAAAACGCAAACTTTGAAAAAATACCAAGTATATGTAGCTTTAATTTATAAGGGAGGACAACTGATTTGTTTCTCTTATCCCCAATTTTTTTCTCACGGCTTCCCTTCTCTCTTTTCATTTGGATCCATTTCTTTTTTGCAATCCCCTTGTCCCCTGATAGTGTTCCAAATGGAAGAAATATTATGGAATTTCTAATATTTATTCCAAAATTTTATCGAATACTCGTCCCATAAGGAATATTTATAAAGAAATTGTCTATAATAAAGTTTCCAAAAGGACATCTGGAAGGAACAAATATACGTTGACTTCAGTACTACATGCAGTTTATATACAATATTCATTTGATGCACAGGTAATTAAAATCTTTAAAAATCTCTTTTGTGTTTTGATACGTTACCACATTTAAAGATTTATAATTTCCTAACACGTCTAATAGTACAGACACGTTCCACGTAATTAATCATTTAAAAGGACTTGACAGTGTATAATTTTAAGTATTAATAATCAACAAATTAAAGATTACCTAGTATAGCGTCAAAAGATAGAAGGCTTATGAGCATCCAGTCGTTTTCAAACATTTACCTTTAATAATAATAATAATAATAATAATAATAATAATAATAATAATAATAATAAAAACAATACTTTATTCCAAAAGCAAGTATATCTTATAGAATATATACAATGTTTGATAAATTAATTATGCATGCACCATATCACATAAACAGACATATAATAACAAATATTGGTATACATTGTCCCACCTCTGTCCTCGTACATTGCTTCGTTTATTCAGACGAACTTAACTGTATTAAAGGTAAACAATAATATCTTATAGTGTACAGAAAGTTTAAAACTACAACTTAACGTATAAAGTTGAGGAGTTGTGGTATGATTTCAACGATGAGACAACTATCCACCAGAGTTAAAATGAAGTGGAAGTAAGCAATAAAAGGCCACCATACGGCCTTCAACAATGAGAAAACCCATACCGTATTGTCGGCCATAAAAGACCCCGAGTTGAAAAGCGAAACAATTCAAACGAGAAAACTAATGGCCTAATTTATTACAGAACAGTTTAAAAAAAACAAATATGACAGACACACGACAGCCACTGTACTATAGGCTCCTGACTTGCGACAGGCACATACAGAATGTGGCAGGTTAAACATGTTTGTAGGCGCTCAACCCTGCCCCGCTTTCGACAATTTAATGCCTCTTCAATGATACTTAGACCAAAATCTAATACAAACGTTGAAGACGTGATCAAAACAAAAAGGTCTATAAGTAAAACCCAACTGGACAAGGAATCAGAGTTATGCATGAGGGAGTTTCATTTCTCAATTTAAAACGATTTCCCAAATTTTATAAAAGCAAATTTCAATAAAACAATATTCGTATTTGCATGCCAGTACCAAAGTATACTGGTTACTGAGTTGACAATACACACGGAGACTAGCATTCCATTGGCAGAGATATCTACCTCATGGAATATCCGTACTGGCTACTTGGCTGATGATACTCTCGGGGACTAAAAGTCCACCAGTAGAGATATCGACCCAGTGGTTGAAATAACATCAATTCTACTGCACTAGATGCGCATTTCGAATTTAATGTCTCTTTAGCGATGCTCGAGGCCATCATGTTTGAAAATCCAAAATTAGATACAAACGTTAAAAAGCTGATAAAAACAAAAAAGACCACAATTAAAGCCCAACCTGGACAAAAAATCAAAGCTATGCATGCGAGAGATACATTTCTCAATTTAAACTTATTTTCAAAATTTCTAACCGTCCACCCAGCAGAGATATCGACCTAGTGATAGAAATAACATCAATGCTATCCATTCTACTGCACCAGAAGCGCATTTCGACAATTGATTATGTCTGACAAATTCAACATGCAGATGTACCATATGCGTTCCCCTCTCGTCCAGAAAAGCTGATCATAATTGGTTAAAAGTTTGTTGTCAAATGAGCAGTGTTCGTGTTGGGTTATGTTAGGTATAATAATTTCTGATACATTCAATAACTTTTCGTGTTTGTTTTTTTTCTGAAGTAAACATATGCATAACTTGTAAAAGGAAAATAAAAGATACAAAGAAAGACGTGTTCCCAACACAAATTAATCATCATATATTCTTCTGGAATTTCTGTATCCAACCTCCAATATTAAACAAGATACTGTATATTTCAGATGCCACTGAAGAATCTACTAGACTCAGAAGGGAAATGCATGACAGTTCTAGATGTTGATGGGTTCTATTTACCCAATTTCAAATTTCCCAGTCAGGAAAGTGACTTACGGTCAATGGCAGATCATTATTTAGCCAGAGATGATGACGTATTGCTTTGTAATTATCCAAAATCTGGTAATAAAAATTGTCGATATGTAAATTTAATCTGTGTCTCGTTCAAATGTTTATAATATTAGATGTAAGGGCAAAGTATCTTCAAAGAGCAGTGAGTTTAAAAAGACTTAATACGGATCAGAAAATTTTTAGAAAAATTAAAAATTATGATGATAAAAGGAATAATGCAAGATAAATTGCAAAATCTCATTCATGTTTAATATAAGTATAGAGATATATCATGCTAGTATGTGGTACAAATGTGTTTGCAAAAATAAAATTTAAAATTAAAAAATTGAAGCGAGACTGACAAATTGCCTGAGTCATTGTGCGAAGAAAAAGGTAGAGCCAATTTTGTTCAATTTATTTCACATCTGGACGACAATCTTTGTATGCATTCACATTGTCGTTTTTTTAAGTTTTTAACAAAATTGATTATCCAGTGGTTTCAAAATGAAAATAACGTTTTATAGATTTGGTGCCACCGAAGCGCTTGTCTGGATTGACCTTCACCAGGAACCCAAATTAAAATCTGAAAGCACAGGAACTTTTAATACCTGAATAATTCACATTGACAAAAATCGTTATAGTCTAGAGCTTTAATGTTTGGTTTTTAATAAATCCCATATTATTCCGCGCATTTAGGTTATTTTGCCTGACACTGTATTTTTAAGAAATGGCCGTGCAAGATTTACAAATATTGTTCAGTGGTAGTTCTTTTATTCGTAATATTATTTATTAACAGGAACCCATTGGGTGTGGGAAATTATCCAGATGCTGTATGCACAGAAACCAGAATTGATAGAACACTCCAAAATGAAATTCATGATGGAATGCCTGTCAAAAGAAGCGTTTGATTCTTTACCGTCCCCTCGTATACTGAATAATCATGTTTACTTTTCCATGCTTCCAAAAGATTTTCTTAGACGGAAATGTAAGATAGTGTATACTATGAGAAATCCCAAAGATGTTGCTGTATCATATTATCACCATCATCGTGGATTGTATATGTATAACTATGATGGATCTTGGGATGGCTACTTAAACAGATTTTTAGAGGGGAATCGTAAGTTTTTTTTTAATGTACACGAGTAATCCCGAATAGAGAATTCAAAACAATTCCAGGGATATTGTTAACTGGTGTATGTGTAAGATGATATTTGCGGTCTGGAAAACCACAAGGGACAAATAATGCACTGTTGTTCACACTTAAAATAATAATCTAAAACACATCCACATTTTTGTCCATGCAGTATCAATATCTACTAATGGTCCCTTTATTGACATTTGGTGATTTTTTTTAGTCGGCAAGGTAAATTAATTTCCTATGTCCCTCTCTTCAAAAAAGTCCCATACTCATTAGTCATGAGCACCACATTGAAGAAATAATTCATATTAAACAAATATAGTTAAACTGATAAATATCAAAGTGAATACTACATTACTAGTATAATGCAGTTATACTTTTCTTATTTTTCATTATTTATATCGTCAGAAGGAATTGACAAATTTGGCCGTATTTACACCAAATCTTCTCTGAGTACAGACAAAGTTGTGTATCCACAAAAGTTTAAATGCATGGCAGGACATAGAAAAATAAATTCTAAATGCATTTTATGTTTCAGAAAATTAATAACATTCCTGGATTTTGAGATTCCTTTTATTGTATGTTGATAGAAAAACAAAGGATATGAATTATTTATTCATTACACAAAATCAGTACATGCACAGCAAAAAACATACAAAAAGCGAAGGAACAGCACTTTTATTGCTGTTCCTCATCTCAAAGTCACAGTGAGGCCTCCAATACGGAGCAAAAAAACTCTCACCTCACTTCAAGTTTAAGACGGCCCCTAGCACCGGTTTCAGCGGGATTCTTTGCAAAATAATTCGGGTAGATTTTGTAAGATGTGAGATAAATATATAATGTCAAAATTCAAGGAAAAAATCTTCAAACGATCCTTATTATAACGATGAGTGGTGTTAACATCACGAAGATAATTCCAACTTCGCTCAGACTTCTTTAAATAGATTTAAGATATGGTTATGTACTCCAGCTTGGGTAGCTGGTTAGTCGGAGATCAGTGAAAAAACATGTCTTGTTATAAATAACGTAAAACAATGTTGTTTTACTAAAAAAAATTAGCAAAGATACCAGGCTTATAATTTAATACGCGAGACGAGAGTATACGTAACGCATCAATTTTCATACATACATATAGAACATTTGGTATAATTCAAATTCAAATACTCTTTGTCTGTGCTTGCTGCGGTATCGCCTTTTTGTGCTGATGCGGCGTAAAGCAACCACCAATCAATCAACCAATAATTGTAAACCAAGTTCATAAAATATTGTAACTGTTTTTTTAGGGGCATTAGCTGTCAAATGCATGATCACCGATTTGACTTAAATTCTCATATTTGATTTATAACATACTAAAACGTAAATCCACAAAGAGTTCAAAAGATACAATTAGCAATACATAGAGTCGGTATAAGGTATCAGCATTTCGTCCGTATCTTAGACTAAACACCATCTGATTAACCATTGAGATTACTTCCGAAGACTGCCGATAGTCATACGACTCGATATCAACATAAATAGAAGTAGACATAGACTGAGAAGCACGTGGAGTTGTGTAATTACGATTTTTCCAGGTCTGTTTGATTTCAGGTCATAGATTTAAAAAAAAAAAATGTAAATCTTGGTTTTACATGGATATGAATGATTTCTTGTGGTCCGAATCGGTCAAAGAAATGTTTTTTTTTATGTTGGATCCCTTGTTTCACTTTCAGTGTTGACATTCTTTATACATATATATATATATATATCTGAACACGCTTATGGCATGCGTAACCCCTCTTCAGCTAAAGGTCAAGTTAGGGTTACATGAATACGGGTTCAACTGAGGTTGAATTATTCACTTGCAAATCAATAATACATTTGGATGTTTTCGAGGATTTTTTTTACCAAATTGAACCAAACTTACGGCTAATAGCGAAATAGTATTTCATTATTCCGCTTTTATAACTGTTTGAAACAAGTGTAAATGTCAGATAATGCCCCTTTAAAGCCTAAAGCAAAGTTGACCCTTTTTACGTTTTGTATTTTATTGTGCTCTCAAACTTTTGGTATTTCGGACTTTCCAAACATTCTGCTTTGAGCATACCTGATAAAGATTACTCCAGAAACACGTGTGTGTGCACGAAAATAATATCATATATTAAAAATTCCAACAAGGACAAGATTCAACAGTAAGTACTTGATAAAGAATATATATTATCAACTTTCTTCAGTTTCTACCAAACAATTAATCTATTTCAGTTGATTATATGTCCTGGTTTGACACTATACGTAGCTGGCACAGGGCCATACAGGAACATAAGGATTATCCTATACATGTTATTCATTACGAAGATATGCAACAGGTATGATAACCCTCATCACATTATATAAGATATGCAACAGGTATGGTAACCATCATCACATTATATAAGATATGCACCAGGTATGGTAACCCTCATCACATTATATAAGATATGCAACAGATATGATAACCCTCATCACTTTATATAAGATGTACAGTATATGTCAATAAGACAGCATTCAAAAAACTCAATATACAAAAAAACTCCTAATTGCAACTATACACGTGCCAAATATTCCACACTTAATAAGAAATCCTACACAGTCATAGTCTGTTATATTTCCCTTGGTATTTCAATCATAGATGCATAACTGGATGCTCTTTCATATTGGATAGCCAAATTATAAATTGAGTGACATTATACTTCAATATTATCGCTGTATTTGACAATCTCTTTTTACATTAGTAACATATGTTAGTTAACTTTGAAACTGCATACTAGCCATCCCCATGGAAGATGTGAAACAAATTTGGAGATCCTCAATCCTTCCTCGTTCTAAACTTAAAAACAGACGAAACAAAAGTGCTTGTGAGCACTGAATGGTAAAGTTTGCATTCATTTTGCAGTGTGAATTAAAAATTAAACCTTGAACTGTGTTAAGCATTGGAAGGCAACTACAATTATGGACAAATGAAGATAACTCAGAATTTAAATATTACTATAACAATGACATTATTGATATTTTTATAACAGATAGCAGATTCTTGCACCATGCACATGCATGTATTTTCTTGACAAGAATGGTTATACACATGCACATCATACTGTAACTTGAATATTTGAGTCTATATTTCACTGATAAATTTATTGAAATGTTCATAGTATGTAAAGAATGTTGTGCCCAATGCACTATATTTTGTTCATCTCAAAGGAAGTGATAAACTATAGTCTGGAAAATTGATAACTATCAAGACAGTCACATAAGGGTTTTGATTGCAGGAATACAATCTTTACCCTAAAAAGAGTATAAATTTGTTTCACAATAAAGAATCGCCAAGTTAAAAACAATTATCTCGTTAAAGGAAGGGGCAGACCAAACTTTTTAAAAATCCACTACGATTCTGGCATAAAAACTGACGACATCAAGATGCTTGATTTTTTATACGACCGCATTTTTTTTCGGCCGTATAATGGTATGACGTTGTCGTCCGAAGACATTTGGTTTCCAGACAATAACTTGAATATAAGTGTATGAATATCTATGAAATTGCACTACATGGTTCCATACCAAAAAAGGAAGGTTGCGATTGTTTTTGGGGGTTATTGTCATAACTGTTGGGGAATAAGGGGCCAAAAAACAAGCATTTTTCTTATTTCAGGACAATAACCTGTGTACAAGTGATGGATCTCTATAAAATTGTACCACAAGGTTCCATACCTCAAAGGGAAGGTTGGGAATTGATTTTGGTTGTTATGGCCCACACTGTTTAGAAATTAGAAGCAAAAAAATAAGGATTTTCTGGTTTCCTGACAATAACTTGGGTATACGTCCAAGGATCTCTATGAAATTGTACCACACGGTTCCATAACAAAAAAGGAAGGTTGGGGTTTTCTAATATTATAATTTACTTATTTCTTGACCAATTTCAAGGGGTGTAATTCAATGTCTTGAATTCTTGGGATTCTTTAATATTCTGAATATTACCGTGTATTTAGATTTTTGATTGTGGGCCCAGTTTTCAAGTTGGTCCCAAATTAAACTTTGTTTGATTTCATGAAAATTGAATTCTTGGGGTTCTTTTTTATGCTGAATCTAACAATATATTAGATTTGGATATTGGACCATAATAGGTAAATGTCCAATTTAAAATTTTTAAGTTCTTAGACCACATTCATTCTGTGTCAGAAACACATGCTGTGTCAAATATTGAATCACAATCCAAATTGAGAGCTGTATCAATATGAATGTTGTGTCCATACTTGCCCCAACTGTTCAGGGTTCGACCTCTGTGGTCGTATCAAGCTGCGCCCTGCAGAACATTTTGTTTTAATCGGCAACATATTTATTGTGTTTGTTCGACGCCTTTCGCGATACACTATCGGCATTCCTTTGGAAACCAATTGTGACCTTGTTCCTTTATTCGTATGAAACAGACTTCATATATGAGCTTCTTAAAAAAATTGAAAAGAATCTATACACCCTGTATTTTCACGTTTCAGGCTTAAGGTGATGTCCTTCTGTTGAATAATTCAGAGTTTTGTGATTTGTTTATTTCCTTTAGAAAAAAAGAAATCTAAAGTTAACCTTGAACTTAGAATTCTGTATATAGTTGGTGTCCTCTCACTGAATAAGTTAGAAATCGATGTTTGTTACATATTATATTGAACCAGAAATAAAAGATACCACAGATACAGTTTTGTATGCTTCATACCTTGGCCACCACCTACAATTTGACAGTGACGGTCAGTTAAAAACTAAACTTTAAGAAAAAAAGAAATAACTTGTGATTAAATATATATATAAGCATTGTAGATTTTCCATGTTCAGGTAGCAACATTCCAGTAAAACCTGCATATATAATATCTATCTCCTACTTATTTCAAGGAGCATTGAAATAAGTTGTCGTGCTTTATGAATATGAATAAAATGCAATTAGTATTCAATAGGTCAAACACTAAATCTACACCCAGTCAACATAAGTACTGAAGTAGTTAATAAATGTAACAGAGAATATCGAAGATATACCATAACCCAAGATTCCCTTCAGAACAAACCATGACCAAGTTCCAACCTTGATACAGGCACATATTAAACATGAGGTTGATTTTAACTAGACATTGAACATTCACTTTCACCCTTATTTATTCTAAGTCAATGGAATAATAACCAAAGGTACATATTAACACACAACAAAAATCAATTCAATTGTTTTGCGTGTTTGCTTATCTTTTTTAGCATCAGTGTTTTAATTTCATCAACTTAATTTAATAGCCATTCTGCCATTTTCTAGAGTTTTGTATAATTTGTAGGCATTCCAACTGAATTATTCTAACTTGGAAAAGGAATAGCAAAATTGAGTTAAAAATTTTATAGTTCAAAACTTGATACAGGACAGATGAATGCTTGATACAGGACAGATGAATGCATGAAAGGACACAGAGATAGAAAAACATAATGCCCCCTACTATTGTAGATGGGGCATAAAATAATCTTTCAGTATTTATAGCACATATTTTTTGTTTTCAGAATGGCATCGAAGAAATAAGAAAATTAGCAAAATTTCTAGAGAAACCATATGATGAAAAGTTGTTAAAAGATATCCAAGACAAATGTCAATTTGAAGTGATGCAAAAGGATAAATTTCACCTTAAAACTCTTTGGAAAGAAAACACTGCTGGTATCTATAGAGAAGGTAATATATTATTTTGAAACCTTCATGATTAAAATAAATTAACAAATTAAAATAAGAATGTGTCCGAGGACACACATCCCCCCTCATAAGCTTGCTTATAATATGTGAAAATACCTTTGGGACGGACGGAGAACGGACGAAAAGACGAACAGAAGGACGGACGGAATGACAAACGGTCAAGGGTAACACTTAGTGTCCCCTTCACCTAGTGGCGGGGGCAAAAACAATAATTACAATTAGACACAATCTTTTATAAATTACATGGAAGGGAATAAATATGATATCAAGACCAGAGGTGAACTGGGACATACTATAGATATATAACAAAAATAATAAAAATGTTGTTTTATTAGGTCCCAGTTGTGAACAAATATTGTCACGTGATATATATTGACATCTAAAATAAATTGTCACATTTGAATCAACAAAAGATTATAACTCTAGAATAAATATTTATAAAGAAACTAAGATGGATATTGTAACATTCACTTGGAACTGTGGTAGGCTCTGTTAAAGATCACCATCTAGACTTCAGCGGCTCTTTTCACAAAAAATCTTACAAGAGAGTAAAAATACTCGTAAGTCATGAGCATTTCAGTATAACTTACTATCAATTTTAATCGTAAGATTTTTTGTGAAAAGAGTCGCAGGAGATTTCGAATTTGACAAATGTTATTGACACTAAGTCTTGACTATTACTAAAAATCCTGTCAATTTTTTAATCTTTTTTTTTTGTTTTGTTTTATTGTTCTGTTTGGTTGCTGTCTCATCGATATAACCAGAATGGATATAATTTAATATTTGTTTATTACAGGTAAAGTGGGTGGATGGAAGAAGGTTTTTACAGTAGCACAGAATGAAAAGTTCGATAAATTTTTTCAGGAAAAAATGAATGATTTAAATTTAGACATTAAATTCACCATATGAATGATAAAACAATACATGTGATTCATCTAACCTTATTGATTCAAAATGTATAAAATAGCTTACAAAGACACAATATTTACTAAACATATTATAAAATTCTAAAAATCATAAAAAAAAATAAACCTTATTGTTAAAAAATAGACATTCTTGACATACTGAAACCTGTCATAAATGTTAAACAGGTAAAAGGAAATAGACAACAAGAACATTGAATGTAATTTAGCAGAGTTTATCTTATACAATGTAGGGCTAGAGCAGCAGTGTATAAAATAAGCAGTTGCTTCAGTGTACACTTTTATATACATATTGTTAGACTTTATGAAACATTAAAGGAAGACTGTTGGAACATGCATGACAAAGAGACAAAAAAAAAACTCGTCAAAGATACCAGGAAATTACATAAAGTCAAGTATGGTCATTCTGAATGTCCAGACTTAAGTCTGTGCATTTCATTTATGGTTAATGTTATATAAATTGATTTCATTTCCATAAAAAGGCATCCATTAATTTTGATTTGATATGGTATATAGCAAAGTAAAACAGGCCTATAGTTGCTTACTTCTACATCATTTGGTCTCTTGTGGAAAGTTGTCTCATTGGCAATCATGCCACATCTTATTTTTATATTTTGTCTTTTGTACCATAGTGTTAGTTCTGCTCTCAATTCCTGTTTAAGGTTCCACTAAAGTCAAAATATAGGACAAACTTTGCCTGTATTTTTCAACCTATAATGAATAAAATCCTAAACTATGGGAACATATGTTCATTTAAACATATTTAACATATACACACTGTGTAAATTGTAAATAAACTTGAAATTGTTATGTTGTGGCCAAACCGGTTCTTGGGGTGAACACAAAATTTTCCAAAAAATCTGGAGGCCTTGGAGACGACTTAATTTGTTTAAAATTGGTATGGACGAATACTGTTATAAATAATGCAGAGCAAGCTCATGTTGATTTTTCAGAAAATGTATTGATTTTCGAGTTTCAGTTAATTTCATGTATCTAGGTGAACGGATATCGAAGGGTCAATACAGAAATTGAACAAATATGGCATTAAAACATATGTATGTGACAAATCAACATAAGCTTGCCCTGCATTACATGTAACAGTATTCGTCCATACCAATTTTAAACAAATTAAGTCGTCTTTCAAGCCTCCAGATTTTTTTGAAAATTTAGTGTTCACCAAAAGAACCGGTTTGGCAATAACATAAAAATTTCAATTTCATTTACAATTTACACAGTATGTATATGTTAAGTATGTTTAAATGAACATATGTTCTCATAGAATAGGACTTTATTCATTATAGGTTGAAAAATACAGGCAAAGGTTAGATGTTTATGAAGTGTCCTATACTTTGACTTTAGTGGAACCTTAATCAATGAATTGATCAGACTGCATACAATCTTTTAAGGTAAGACAGTGACTTCAAGTCAAGATTATGCTATTCTATTAATGTGGATTAACATTACCTTAAAAAGTATAGGACTTTAACCAAACTAGAGGCCAAAATCCCTCACCGTACAAATTAACCCCTTAATTGCTCAAGATAATGTCTTGAGAAATTTAGCTTCATATGGCTTTGTTTTGATCATTCGCCTGAAATTTCATCTTTTTCTGACATCATTTCAGACAAGGTTTTTGAGAATTAGAATCAAAAATTTTTCTCTGGTATCCATGTTTTTCTTCCCATCAGAACCAAATAAGGATCATTTGTTGAAAACCTGCCCTACAAGTTTGGTTAAATTTGACCTAGCAGTTTCAGCGAAGATACAAAAAGTGAAAATTAATAAACAAATGTAAAAGTTAACTGTTATTTTTTTCAAGTTCTATCCTTCTTTTGTTCACTTCTGGTCCATCACCTTAAAAACAAGAGTAATATTTTAAAGTTTCACTTTGGTCTATGATAACATACATCTACCTATATAATACAAAAATGTCTGGTTACTGATAAATCATTCATTAAATCAATATCCTTTACATGCACATGTAAATCAACATAAAAAGAGATCACAATCTTTATCTTACAATATCTATCCTATGACTATAGAAAATAAAACAAGTTTCAATAACAAATAAATGTATGAACAAAAGAAGATGTTGGGTATATATCAATGAGATAGCAACACAATGAGATTAAAAACTTAAAGCCATCTAGAGGTCAACATGCAGTCTTCAACAATAAACAGGCATGAGCCGATGACATGTGTCTATACAATATGTTGAACCCTAAATATTTTGGACAATTTTGCTGTTTCCATGGTCATTTTGAAAATTCCAAAGTCAAATGTAAAGTCTGAACATGCCAAATAACATTTCTGTAAAGTTTTATTGAGTTTAGAACACTTTCCATTTTTTGCTGTTTCCATGGCAACGGCAGCCATCTTGAAAATGCCAATCCCGTTTGCACATCTGCACATGCTGGTTAACATAATGGTATAGTTCCATTAAAATTGGTTTATACAATTCCGAGATATAAGCTGGACAAAAAAAGTGGAAGAAAAAAAATAATAACTAGATTTGCCATTGCAAACAATAGCGCATGTCACCCTTCCCCCCATTGCCAATAAGTGGCAGCCATTTCAAAAATTTTAAACCGAGATGCTTATATATGCATGGCTATACATGTTTCTGTAAATTTTCAGAACATTTAGAGCATTTTTGATCATTTAAAATTTTTTGACATTTTTGCAGTTTCCATGGCAACGGTGGCCATTTCGGAAATTCCAAAGTCAAAAGTCTTATCTAGACTTGCCAGTTAAAAATCATTTTAAGTTTCATAAAGTTTGGAGCATTTTGTAATTTTTTGAAATTTTTACATTTTTGTTGGTTTCCATGGTAACAGAGACCATTCCCGAAATTTAATGACAGGTGCTACATTGGTACATGGGAGGGAACATACCATTAAAATTTCAATGGATTTGACATACCATTTTAAGAAAGCAAATGTCACTTTTAGGTTTTTTGGATCATTTTGACCTGTTTTGCATTGTTTCCATGGTGACGGCAGACATTTTTGAAATTCCAACGCCAAATTCCACATCTACCAATGTTGCTCATCATTACTGTGAAGTTCCATTAAATTTTGAGCATTTTGATATTTTTGAATTTTTTGGTGTAGCTTCCATGGCAAAATAGTAGTTCCAGTGATTGCCAAAATCATCCAAAACCAGTATATAGTGGGCACCTACATTGTATTGAAATATCATGATTGTAAGTTTATGCATATCCAAATAATCCACCAAACTCTTAAATTTTATTTTTTCACCTTTCTTTGGTTTCCATGGTGATGGCATCCATTTTTTAGTGCCAAAGTTGCACTGCAACTCGTAAGTCAGGGTTCCTTGTTATAGCGAACAACCATTAAGATTAGTGCATTAGGCTCTGAGAAAACTGCAGGATAAAATTAGGAGGAAGAATAATAATAATAACTAGATTTTCCATTGCAAGCAATAGCGGATGGCACCCTTCCCCCATTGCCAGGCAAGCGGCATCCATTTATAAAATTCCAAAGTCAAAAAGTGCATCTACACATGCAAATTATCATTTTTGTAAAGTTTCATTTAGTTTGGAGCTGTTTCCATGGTTACGGCGGCCATTTTGAAAATTCCAAAGTCAAATTGCAAATGAGCACATGCCAGTTACCATTTCTGTAAAGTTTCTTTCAGTCAGGAACATTTAGATTTTTTCGAAATTTTGGACATTTTTTATGTTTCCAGGGTAACAGTGGTTATTCCAAAATTCTAGAAGCATACATCTCATTGCCACATGTCATGTTATATATCAATACAATTTCATTGACTTTGATGAAATACTCTTTAAAAAAATGCTGACTTTATGCATTTTCCCATAGGGTCAATTTAAAACTTGCCCCCAGTTTCCATGACAACGGCGGCCATTTTGGACTATCCAAATATTGTCTTGACATCGTAGCATACTGGGTAATATTTTCATAAAGTTTCATCCAGTTGGGTCTTATAACGAAAGAGTTAGAATTTTTGATAATTCAACTGTTTCCATGGTAACGGCAGCCATTTTGAAAATTCCGAAGTCAAACTGCAAATCAG